ATTTTTTACTGTTATTTTGCTGAAAAGAAATACTGTTATTTTTTCAGAATCCTCAAAGAATAGCATTCTCACAAAAATATGAAGCAGCACAACTGTTTTCAACATTTGTGAGGTTAAGAAATGTTTCTTGAGCAGCAAATCGGCATTTTAGAATGATTTCTGAAGGATCATGTGACACTGAAGACTGGAGTAATGATGCTGAAAATTCAGCTTTGATCAAAGGAATATATTAAATTTTAAAATAGAAGTTATTTTAAATTGTATTAATATTTTGCATGTTTGCTGCAATGACTTTTTTTACACTTGGTAGTGTAAATTTGGTCTAATAATATATGTATTAAATTGCACTGGACAGAAAATGATTATTACATGTGACCCTGGACCACAAAACCAGTCATAAGGGTCAATTTTTTTGAAACTGATATTTATACATCACCTGAAAGCTGAATAAATATGCTTTCCATTGATGTATGGTTTATTAGGATAGGACAATGTTTGGAGATACAACTATTTGAAAATCTGGAATCTGAGGGTGCAAAAAAAATATTGAGAAAATCACCAGAAAGTTGTCCAAATGAAGTTCTTAGCAATGCATATTACTAATCCAAAATTAAGTTTTGATATATTTACGTTAGGAAATTTACAAAATATCTTCTTTACTTAATATCCTAATGATTTTTGGCATAAAAGAAAAATCGATCATTTTGACCCATTCAATGTATTTTTGGTTATTGCTACAAATATACCCGTGCTACTTATGACTGCTTTTGTGCTCCAGGGTCACATATAAGGTTGCAGTTAAGGAAATTTATGACAGTTGTGTGAAGTACTCTGCATATATTTGTCATCCAATCACAGGTATTCTTTATGACACATATCCTTTGTCAGAGGAGACCTGGCACACACATCAGTTCAACTTTATCAAGGTTGGAAGACAGTTACATTAAAACCATTTGGGCTGATGTTTGCTGCGAGCGATCACACTCCGTTTTGTCGAACGGTTTCCTAATCACAGTGAACTGTTTTGTCAGGGTCATGCTAACAGACTGCTGAAGCCCGGCGGTGTGCTCACATACTGTAATCTCACCTCCTGGGGTGAGCTGCTGAAAAGCAAATATAATGACATCGACAAAATGTTCCAAGTGAGTAGCTCAGTTCCTGACGCTCTCATTGCAACTAAATCCGTATCATTGTGCTGTGGTTTTATGATGAGAAATCTACTTTTTTTTTTGCCCAGGAGACACAAGTTCCCCACCTGGTGGAAGCGGGATTCAAAAAGGAGAAGATCAGCACCACGCTGATGGACATCAGTCCTCCCAGTGAATGCAAATACTATTCCTTTAATAAGATGATCACACCAACTATTGTTAAAGAATAAGAAAAACAAACTGTATATAAATCATTCTACTGTCAAGTGTCTGAACTGCATTTCATTCTCTCAAAATAACTAGAAAAAGTTTTGTAAATGACTAGTCGTGCCATTCAAAGACTTTTATTTCTTTTCTTTTTTTGATTATACTACATCAAAATAAACACTACATAATTGGCATGTTGCTACTTGTGTTTTATATATCGGTATGGTGGATGTATTCACAGATAAAGAGCACAGTGTTGTGGTACTATTATAGTTTTTGTTAATATCGTAAATATTTTTTGTACTTTATGCTTTCATGTTAATTTTAGTTAGCTTTTGCAATTTTGTTTTTTAAATTTGGCTATATAATTGTCTATATAGGTCTTATTTTTAAAGTTTAGTTTTTAGTTATTTTAGTTCATCATTAAACTGAATGAAAATGAGAAATGCTGCCTTAAACAGCTTTTATAAAGTTTTTATATTAACTTTATTTTTTATATTAAAACCAAAAAATATATAAAGCTTTTTTGCATTTATACATATTAGAATTTACGATACTTGTATTTTAATTTTGAGTTGTTTAGACAAATTGTTTTTCATTACTCTAACACAGTAAAAAAAAAAAAAACTGTATAGCTGACTAAAATTACTTATATATGCATGTTACATAAAAATGGGCTTCATTTACCTGAATTCGGAAATGAAAACAAATGATGACAAAAGCCAAATATCAGCATCAAACAGAAGTCAATGCACTCAGCACTGAAGCAGAAAGTCTTTATTTTAGCTACAAAGAGGAGGAGCTTGAGCTCAAACCAGAGCAGCTCCTGAGAAATCAGCCTTCTGAGCACAACAAATGACCAGTATTAAATAAACATCTCAGAGCAGACAAACAAACACAATCACACCTCACTTGCGATACCATATTCTCATTTTCTTTTCTCGCTTGATCTTCTTCTGTAACTGCAGCGTTCCATAAAGCAGAGCCTCTGCTGTTGGAGGACAACCTGGACGGACACACAGACAGATAATCTTATTACACACGTATTAGAGACAATTCTCTCTATAGTAGGCTATAGTAGGGCTGCCCAATATGGACAATAATATTTACACTTTTTCATAGTGATGTGACGTTCGACACAGAGGCTTCGAAGCTTGTATCAAAAAAACGAAACATCTCACAGTGAAGCCACGTGATCTGTGACGTCCGAAGCTTCGTTTTCGCACACAACCACGTGACTGCTTCGTATTCTGATTCACATAACGCGAACCACTTGCACAGTTTCAAGTGTCACTCACGTCATTGAAAAGAATAAATCATAATACGAATAAATATTTGCATACATGCATGTGTAGTGTTGTGCATGTTCATTTTGTATTAATTCCTGGTTCACAGACACTTTAACTGACCATTCTATGATAATCTTCGGTTATTTTGATCATAGCCTATATATGCCTACAGCCTTGCCTATTTTTTCCACAAATTTATTCACAGACTCATTTATTCATATTGTGTAATACAATGACTTGACATGGACTTACTTATATTGACTTCATATTTTCTTTGCTTTATACAGGTTTTCATAGCACAAACTAATTTATTATCTGAAACAATCCAAAAATGGCTGGGTCGTCTGAGACGCAAAGGCAGCTTTTTCCACCTTTTGACCACAAGATGTCGTTAGTGTGCACCATCTTGAAAAGCTTCCGAGTAATGAACCTTTTTACAATACAGTTGAGGGAAAAGCCTCGGTGCTTCGCAAAGCTTCATTTTTCCATTACTACTTTTTCATATACAATATCGATATTTTATGAAAGCCCGTTTCCGCCACTGAATAAAAAAAATTAAGGTAATTGCGGCTTTTTATCTAACAATTCAGACTATTTTTTCTCGTAACTGCGTGTTTACATCTCGCAAATCTGAATTTTTTATCAGAATTACAATATACAAACATGAAACTACGAGTTATACAGATAATAACTCGCAATTGTAAGAATCCCCCCCCCCCCCCCCAAACCAGCTTTTTT